CAATTTACCAAGCTGCTTTCCCGATGGTAAAAATAACCCTATATCTGGAAGAGGAGATCTGGAGTAAGATATAACTGCAGGAGGGAAAGCTACAGTTCTGAGCAACACTGGGTACTATGGCTCTTGTGAGTGACTCACCTTGTAAAGACCTAGAATCTATACCTGTGGCACACTTAGTATGGAACATATTTTTATATCTGTGATATGGAGATTCTAAGTTAGGGCAGCTCTCAGAACCCACATGTTGAATCTCATTCTAAGAATGACTATTGTAGTCACATGAATTTTTGATTTAGCGAAACCCAATGACTACTGTGACTAGTGATGCAAATACCAAGGATACTAAAGACATGGGCAGCTAGTACTCTTACACTACTTATGGGAATGTAAAACAGCACAAACAATTGTTAGGTAGTATTTACAAATCTAAACATACTCTAACACAACAATAATATGTTTAAGAATGCTCCTAGTAGTCATTTATTTATAATAGCTCAAAATAGGAAACCAAACAAGTGTTCCACCAATGTCAAGATGGTAAATAAAATTTTGTTGTAAATTCTTATACAGAATGCTACATAGCAGTGAAAAATGAACCTATCACTGCTTCATGCAATGACACTGATAAATCCATTCTAGTCCAGCAAGAGAAGCCAAACCCAAGAATGCACTTTATAAAGGTAAAAAAAAAAAAAAAAAAAAAAAAAAAAAAAAATAATCTACAGTAACAGAAATTTTAGAAGAATTACATTTGGTGTGGTAGAGGGTGGTAGAAGGTAATGAGGAAGTAGCAGTCTATAATTACTATAGAGAGGGGAGAAAGCCACTAGACCCACGTGTTAACAACTGATAACTCAGGGCTGAAGGGTATGGTATGTAGGTGTGCACTGTATAGTTCTTTCAACTTCTCTGAAAATGTGAATAATAACAAAGCACAATAACTGGTGCCAGAAATGTGTACACACTGAAACCTCCCAAGCACCAGTGTAAGGAAATATGAAAGCACTACAAGTTACATGATTTAGATGCTAAATGGAAACTGGGCCAAATTAGAGTGTTTTCCCTTTATGTAACAGTAATTCAGCAGTAATGCAAGAAAATCATGGAAATAAATGCTTTACCTTCTAAAAATTGAAACAGGCAAACTGAAGACTGATGGCAAAGAAGGATTACTGGAAGGATTAACAGACCTATTTATAAAAGAAAAACAAAAAGAAACAACTTATACTAAAGATTTATCTAACAATAACTTGCTTTACTTCTTTGACTGAAAACGAAATCAAGATTTGAACTAGATCTATCATTTAGTACAGTTACATGTTTGCTACTACCTGGATTTGCTTCTAAAGAGAAAATTATGCTTCTTTTTTATCTTTTAAAAATCTCATATAATAAATAAGCCACATAATGCAGAGGTTGCACTAGCAGAGGAACTCAATGTACTCCTTCCCACTGATTAATCATTTTTATATTAAATATTTCCTCATATTTTTAAAACAATAAAATATTAAAGAAAAATCAACAAAGTTGAAGGTATGTACTAAAAATAAATTCATGACAAAAATCATTGCAGTAACTTTTAAATTTTGTACTTAGTAAAGTCAAAAGTAAAGTTTCAGAGAGACTTTTTGACTGAATTAGTCTTCTAATAGCTGCTTAGTCAAACCAAAAATCATAGAACATACAGTCAGTATGGGAATTCTCAAATTTAAAAATTTCCATACATTATTGCATAAGACTGCATCAAAATCTTAAACACCTAGAAATAAAAAACATATAAATTCTTGTATCTCACCACATCTCCATTCTTGATACTTCATCAAATAACAGAAGACAAAACAATGCTGCGACTTCAGTCACTACAGTACAATCTTCATGAAATATCAAGGAAACTAAAGAATAAAAGAAGCATAATTTTATATTTTTACTTCCAGAACAAATGAACTTGAAATTTAAAATATCTTAAGTGGAAGGGAAGAGAAATGCAGAATAACCAATAAAAACTAACATCACTCAAACTCTGGCTCTCAAACTGTCAGATGTATGAAAATCACTTGGAGGGCTTATAAAGCAGTTTCTAATTCAGTCTGTTTAAGACGGAGACTACCACTTGAATTTCTAGTAAGTTCCAGAGAATGCAGGCATTGCTATCCAAGGAGTGACACCTGAGACCCACTCACTAAATACTGTTTGGTTTTAGGTAATCACAGAAACAAACTGACAGTTTCTAGGAGAGCTTTGCCAAGTCATTTAATTCTAGATAAAATTTTCTCACTAAAAGATCCTTTGTATAACTGTTGTCCTTACTACAAACATGTAACCCTAGAGCCTGGAGTCAACTTTAAAACCCTGTGTTTAAAGCTATATTGTTGTTCTGGTTTTGTTTCCTGTTTACTGTGGCCAGATGATGGATAGGGAGATGGTCTGAACTACCAGACACATGCTAAGTGCACGACCACTTCCTGTCTAGTTAAATGGCCTGGTGAAATCCTTTAGCACAGGTAAACCTCAGCTTCTGATAATGTTCACAATGCTACAGTAACTCAGTGCCTGAAATCTCAGGTACTCTAAGCAAACAGGAATGGTGTTATACCAGTAAGTAATAACATACTATAGAACTTGCAAAATCAGGGAAGCAGAAACAAGAAATTCTTTTTGGGGGTTTTTTTTAGGGGGGGGGTTGTTGTTGGTTTTTGTGTGTTTTTAGAAATTAGCTTTAAAGAAGATATTTTTCTAACGTCAAGAAAAAAAACATCACATAACTGGCATAAAAAAAATTATAATAATCTACAAGGTAAAAGAATGAGGACTCGTGTAAGAATTTAATTTGTGTAAACATTTTCTCAGTGGAGATAAAATAAGTTATAATATTTCCAAATACGTAAGAAATTGCTGAAATAAACTGCCCACGATATGGGTAATGAACAAATTTAGATCTGTAGCACATACTATATACCAAAATTAATTCTAGATAAAGAGTTTTTTAAAAAAAAACATTTTAAATATATTAGGAGAAAATACAGGAGAAGAAAATAATTTGAAGTATAATAGTTAAGTAACTTCTGAGACACCATTCTTTGAATTTCAAATTTTATGTCATGATAGAGCCAATACTATATTTCAGGATTAGAAATTAACTTAGACCTCATTTATTAGCAACTTGGCCGTTCTGGAATTAGAAAAGCTCCTATTCATAGCATGATGAAAATCCCAACTGCCCTAACAGAAAAGTTTTATATGTATTTCCACAACCTATTTAAGCTGATCTCTGGTATAAATAATATGTCAGAAATGACAAAAAGACTGGAAGAAAACTAAAAACAAGCATAAGGGTTATATCTGTTGTTATAAAAAGAAACCCCAAGTCACTTAAAAGGAATAAAATACACCTGAAAAATAGACAATTCAAAAAATAAGAAATTTGAGTATACAATATATGAAAAAACAATGAACTGCTCTAAAATAAGTAGACACATAATAATGAGATATTATTTTCATCTATGAAAATAAAGAAAAAATTTAAATGAGACATTCAGGGGTGGCAGAGTTAGAAAGAAGCCTTTTCAGCACCACTGATGAGAACAATTTGGAGACAAATTTACCCAGGGTTATAACATAAGTCACAGCATATTTGCAAAGATGATCATGCAAATGATACTGTCATGTTGAGAAATCTGCAACAAGTGTCCATTAAAGAGCAAACTGAAGCACCACACAGCTGCTTTACAGGTTTTCACTTTTAAGAAAGTAGATTTATATGTGATAATATGAAAATATATTGAAGATATATTTTTAGTTAAAAAGGAAGCAATACAATATGAAGTATACAGTTTGGAAAGTACAACATGTGAATATAGAAAAGTTCATTACACATACACTTGG